TACACAGATTAAGGTCATCATTGCTGCACCAATTTTTTTTTTTTAGAACTTTTTTATTGAGAAATATTACAATCTGTCTCAAAGGACAACTACACCTTTATATATATCGTACAACCAATCGGTCGCTGTCAGAATTTATAATTAATATTACTTATTATTTATTTTTTTCTACTTTTATATTATATTCATAAATTCACTTTTATATGTACTTAAATAAAGTAAACAGTGTCATTCGTGTACTTTTGGAGTTACTGGCAATTCAATATGTGAATCTATTGTTACTTAAAATATATATATATATATATATATATATATATATATATATATATATATATTTGAATCCTTTTGTTGAACATTTAAGGCAATAAATTTTTATTTTTCCATTGATATGAAAACATAACGTGTTTGAGAGTTTTTCCAGGAGATACAAATCTCACTTTGGTTTATCCTTAAATAACTATTTGAACCCACTTTGCTCCATCGGTCTGTACAAATTGTTTCATTTCAATATTGTTATTGTACTATACCAATATGACAAATATAGGTTTTTCATAATAGAGCTCTCCTAAAAAATATAAAAAGTAAAACAAGTAACCAAAAAATGGCAATATAAATATTTTATCGGACATGATTCTTTTAGATTCCAATGATTTTTTTTCTCATGTTGTTGAGAATTCAGGAAGCTTTCAAATACTCTTAAGTTTAATGAACCAAAAATTTTGAACTTTATGAGTTATTTGCAAATAAAATTCTGAACCCATCGTTACTTTTTTTCAGCCTCTTTCCGTGAAAGTATGCTGTATCCATAAATTAATAGGGTTTCAAGGAGAAGACTCATTAAAATTGTTACAGCCGTTTTGGCGCTATGACCGGATGGTAATGAAATGTATATAAAAACACTTTTAGAATTTGATTTCAATTTTTTATCAATATTTCAAAACAATCGGTAAAGAACTTTCGGAGATTAGCGGGCAGAATTTATATTTATATTTTTATTTATATACACTGTTTCCATTTATTTTTTACTGATAACACAACAACTCTTTAATAGGTACTAAACAAAATAAAAAAAGATAATAGGCTGAGAAACAGAGGAGAGAAATATACTGAACTGTTTTGCCTTTGCCAAATTATGTAATAATAATTACAGATTTTGCAATATTTATAAAAACAAAGCCATAGTCTATTTGGTCCTTATTCAATAATCTTTAGTGTTAATCGGATGACCATCCCGAAGAGTAGACTACAGAATAAGATTGCATTATAGATCCATTAGCCTGCAGGGGCTGCGCAACGTCATCAAGACCAGCCTCAATGCTTTTTGTCATCTTTCTTCCTTCACCACGGCCTGTCATAAAAAATATCGCTATAGGCCTACACCTCGCCTAGGAAGATCTTTCAAAGGGTTCTGAAAGTCATCCTCCATAGCCCGTTAATGCTAACCAGATACTTCGAATTCTTTCCCTAAGTAATACAGTTTGGCCACATCAAGATTGTCGTGGGTCAAGTGTGAATCTCTTGTTCTCTTATTGAAGATATATTAATTTAAAGCAAATTTAATTTTGTTTATTATTTATTAATTTACGATACTATCAAACATTAAACATAAAGGAAGAACCAAATTTTATTACAAATGAGAACCGAATTATACAAAAAAAAAAAAAAAAAAAAGAATAATAATAAGAGTCACCCAACCCAACCCTAAATGAACATTAATATTTACAGTAGAGAGAATGTTTAGTTAATGGCCAAACAACACTAACTCAAAACTGAGGCATATTTCGTTAGTATATTTTTTTTATAAATAAAAAATAGAAATATATTTAAATCAAATTAAAAATATAATAAAAAATTTTGATGACTAATCTAAGATATGAAATTAGAACATGTAAAAATTTAAAACATTGGAGAAAAATGATAATATATTAATTATTCATATAATTATAAATGCTAATGAGCAAATCATTTTTGAAATGTCCCTAATAGAAAAAAACACTATAAATTACAAGTGTTTATTCTATTAAATTAAAGATACAAGTTAGACATGAAAAATAAATAAAATTAAAGAAAAAAACCAAGAGAATGAACTAATAAATTTACTTACTTTAAGTTTCTAACTGTAGGTCTCTTTCCTTAAACAAAAGGTAAATATGCTAAAATGTAAAGTAAATTGAAAATAAAAGGCGTCAAGAATTGTATCCTATGTGAGAATTGAAACCTCGCTGTAGTGGTCTAAGCAATCGAATAGGGCCTGAATTTTTTATTTTAATTTATCATTATTATTTATTTCTAATATTTTTTTGTTATTAAATACCGCGAACTGGATTTGAACTCAAGATATAAAATGTTTGTATGCGCATTAATTCGCTTGAAAAATATTAATTTGTGTTTTATTTGAAACAGCTCAATTGCAAGCGCATTATTCCCATCAAAAAATAATAGTTTACTTAATTTAACTACGGTAGGTTGGATGATTTTAGCAAAAATAAATTAAACAATTTATAATTTCTTCTTCCTCAAGATCCCAAGAAATTTTATTGCCATCTTCTTCTGTGTAAGCGTAAGTAGAATGAACATTGTATATAATAATATTACACTTTAGGTTATCTATTTCATGTTATTCTCCTTTTTTCTTTGGTTTGAGTGTTCCTCAAATTAAAATCACATAAAAATATAGAATAATAGATGTCTTTAGAATTCAGAATAGAGATGCACCAAGAGTTCGGAACGAATCTAGGAGTGGGGATCCCAGAGAATTATAAGTGGAAATTGGAAGCGTTAAATTTGAATATTTCTTTGAGTTTATGAACCTTTGATCTCAGGTAAATTATGATATGAACGGAGAAATCCAGATATGTATCATGACTGCAAACAGAGCTTCTTATTTTAGCCTTTAAAGACGCCTTAAAACCCGAGTGATCTAACCCACAACCAATCTGCACATATATGAAACCTTAATCAGACCAGTGCTTATATAATAAGGTTCGGTCTACTGGACAATATCAACAATCCAAGAAAAATATTTGGCCCAATTCTCAATACTCAACAGTAATGGCGAATAAAAAAGAACGAGAAGGAGCAATATCGAGATACCAATGTTTTGAGAATAATAAGGATTGGCAGATTGAGATGAGCTGGATACGTTCGCCTGATACATGGGGAGGATATATTAGAAAATTATAAGAAGAGCGAATTGACAAAAAAATACGGATAGGCAAACCTAAACTTAGATGGGCTGCTGGAATAGAAGATGTCCAAGCTACCCATGGTGTCAATGATTGGAAGGCGGCTGTACTTCTTAGAGATGATTGGCGGTAGAAGCTGCTGGAGGTCCTGACTATACGAGTTGAAGTGCATAAGAAGAAAAATATGGTTCCCAAAAAAAATCATAATCCCATAATCAAAATGTACCACCCTCAAAAATTCTAGCACCGTAAAATTTGATGCCAACATGCCCCTCATGTACATCCCTGTGTTCATATAGATTTAAACGGCTTTATAGTCTCAAATCTTTATAGTCAAACGGCTTAGTTGCAGTCTCAAATTTTAAAACATGTTATCTAGGAGGTTTTTTTTTTTTTTCAAAATTGCTGTAAATTCGCAAATGGTACGATATTGAAAACTTTGATATTATAAAGGGGATCAACACATAAATTATGTGACCAACTTCCTATGACTTTCAGCCCTACTGTATCCTTTCATAATACTTATTCATGTTGGACAGATCCACTATATACAACTCCATCTTACAAACGTCTGGCTTGAAATCCTCATAAAAGATTGAGATGACTAGAAGCTCTTAGACATAAAAGTTGGCTACTTCAACAGTTACTAGACAAAAGCTCTAAACTTCTTATAAACTATACTGATTTACTTGACTATAAAAAGGTCTATTTGCACTTAAGAAGTTGAGCTGTAACATTCCACTTAACCACCCAATTCCTCTCATATCCAATTTTTACAATCCAAAATCCTTTATGCTCTTTACTTTGTCACAAATAAGATTACCAATAAATGACCTTAATGTTCCTTATGTAGTGTTGCCCAAAATCGGTCTTGGTCTTGCACTTTGCACAAGACTGATAAAAAAACAAATACATTTTTTTTAAAATAAAAATTAGGGCAAAATAGTTATTAATACTGGACAATTTTAGTTACTATACGCAAAGAATTGGTACAATCAATATACCTTTGCATTTAACTCTTCCAATTTTTCATTCAGGTTTCGTTAAGATTCGCCTTTCTGAAAAATCACAGTAATATCTCTATAATAATAGGCGAATAGGTAGCTCCAAGACTGTCGTGAGACTCTTGTGCAAAACCAAGACCAAGATTCGTCTCGCATTTGGGCAACACTATCCATATGTAACCGATTTAGCTAAATCCATATAGATATTCTTTTATGATAAATTTCAAGCCCATCTAAGTTAATTAGTTTTTAGCCTTGTATCCTCCTCGATTTCCAATAATCCTCCTAAGCGTCTGAAAAGAATATGGGCTCGATACCTAGAGCTGTACTATAATTAGATTGCTACCAATGGATAGTTTCTTTTCAAGTCTGTACATGCCATATTGCCAATTAGCATTTACTAGTTGTATTTTTAGATAATACAGTGGTAAATTTTAATAAATAAGGAAAAATAAAATTCAAGTTTTCGAATTGAAATCTCCGCGTACGCAGTAACTGAAGGTCATGTCATGGCTTAGGACGGTTAAGTACTTTCTAACTAAAGGGTTACTTGGTTTACTTCTTCCGGTTAAAGGGATAGATTGCTGTGCTTCTACCCAATCGGTTGACTTGCAGGGCTGGTCCAGACGGTCATTGAGGTTCTGCGGACCTCAGATATGAATCGGGGAGAACCGAGGGTGATATATGACAAGGGGGCCTAGCCTCATTGAGAGAGAGAGGACTGAATGGTGGGGCACTGGTGGGGGGGCCAGGTGGGGGGCCCTGGTGGGGGGGCACGCCTCCTCTCAGTCCGCTCCCAACATGTGGGTCGCTCGCCTCATCGTCGCGTCCGCTCTCATACTAGTTCCCGCAGCGTCTAAGTCCACTGTCGGTGAGTACATATCATAGCATATACAGAGCATAACAACATATCCTCCAGGTGATTCTGTAGGGAATATTAAGGGAGTAGGTCTGTTGGAAGATCGGGTGGGAACACATCAAACGTTTTTGACCTAGCCGGAAGGACTGTTGAAACAAATCATTAAAAAAAAAAAAAACACAAATTAATTAAAACAGGAAATATCCACATCTTGGAACAAAAAGAATCAATTTCCAAAACTATGAAATTTGATTTAACTGCACAAAGAAACCAAAGTAGGATATAAATAAACATTAAAAGAGCCAATGTCTTCGAAAATTACCTGTTGGAACCCACTAACATTGGAAGACACTGGATCTTTTAACATTTTTGTTTTTTATATCCTACTCAGAATTTATATTTTATAACGTACTTTGAGAATTTTAAAACTTTAGACAATGGTCCTTTTTGTTACAAGGTAATAGATATATTATCAACTAACTATCGATACGATTAATTATTAAAGATTACATTAAAACTTACAATGGCTTCAGACTGCTAAGATTATCAATTATCATGGTTGACAACCACAATTTTAAATTAAACCAGAGAAAAACAACACACATAGATCCACTTATCCTTTATTTGGTTATTTATTAGTTTTTAAAGGTATACAAATAATAAATTCTAGGAACAAAGGTCCAAAGAACCATACAAATCAAGGCCAAAGAATACAGGACTTGACAGACAACAAAAATATATGACGTTAAAATAAAATAGTGAATTTTTTCTAAATGATGAAAGGTGAACAATTTTTCAATTGTTATTTGTCTTAAACTCCCATCTCTAATCAAGCCTAATTAAATAAAAATGATTTCATTTACTGTTTACTTTTCTACATTGTACGAATTACTTCAAACATTTTACGATCAGATCAGTTCAATTCGTGCATGAACGTTTATAGAAATACCGAAAATAAAATATTTCAATTTTATTTTTCTATAACAATAAAAAATAAACTATTTTTCTGTTAGATAGTCAAAAGTAACATTTTATTGCTTTAAATAGGAATTAGTCATAGAAACAATTGTTATTGTTCGTAAACTACGGTACAATACTAATTAGAAAAAGTTACTTTATTTTTTATTTATATATTTACCTTCTTAAGTTTTAATATTAATTCGATAATTTTAGAATACTGGAAGTTAACATGTGAATGAACATGTAACCTTATGATTTTCTACATTTTTTAAATTTCTCAAAACTACCAATAAATTTTGTTAGAAGTGTACAAGAAAGGTATGATTCTTATGAAACAAAATTTAAACGTTTGATATTTTAATGGAAGAACTTATTATCTAAAGAACATGTTCATGATTTTTATGTCTTACTATTAACCATTATATGAAAATAATCACAGGACTGACTTATATATTAAAATTGTAGAAAAAAAGAAAGCGAGATTTTAAATTAAAAAATACGATAGAAGCATGAATGATACTACATTTAACATCGACTTAAAATTAATTGGAAGAAAAAGTAAATCAATAAAACTATGTCTATATCACCGTGAATAGTTTTAAAAAAAATCGTAATTTGGCATAAAAAATCTTTTTTTGAAAGCCCAACAAGTACTATACCGAAAAAAAGAAACTATTAAAAAAAAATTACATAACTTTATTTAAAAGAAGAGACCTAATGCATGTAATATACTAATTCAATTCATTACAAAATTGCATTAAATTGAACATTTTCCTAAAAATATTTTTGGATTTTATCCATTAATTTATGGAAAAGTTACAATAAATGAAATATTCTGTTTTTTATATCGATTCTACTAATCGAAAATTGACTTAAAAATTTTCCCTAAATTTTCACTCAAATATTAATGCAAATTTCACGATATGAAATTAGATGAAAATCATTTCAAAAATATAACATAAATAAAATAATATATTTTATATATTCAAATATGTTTAAACATTATAATTCAAAGGGACAATCTATCTTTTATTTAAACAAAACATTGCGTTTCACATGATTCTCGCCACAAGAGAAGGGAATTAGTTTAGGGGTATCGTTCGTATACCGTAAAAAAACAAATTGCCGAAGTGTTTAGTTATATTGTATGGTGTACAAGTATTTTAGAAACGTTATAAATAAATTTCGTTATAGTTTTTTTGTTGATTCATTTATTTCTAGTGTTTATACAATTATGTGTTTACTTAACTAGCGCTATGGAACACTTTATTAAGAATGAGTCATCATTAATATTAAATAAATTACAAAAACCGCACCTCTCCTTAAAATTATTTTGATGTTCCCTAAATCGATGATAGATTTTATTCTTTGTTTGTTGTATATTTATAATTTCTTTCTGATGGTGAGTTCTTGCGAAAAAGTCAGTCTCCTTTAAAAGGGTATTTATATATGTTAAAAAATTAAGAGTGTATGCATTTAATTTTTTTGTACTAATAACAATCGAGCTTTGAGTCACATGCATATATATATATAATCTATTTAATATAACTTATAATTATATTAAAAATTACGGTCCTTGTAAATTTCACATAATTCATGATCAAATAGTAGTTCTTAGAGGCGCTTTTCCGATTTTCAGATACTTTGTTAGCTTTAGAAGAATCAAACCGTTCATTAAAATTTATTGGAAACTGGAATGAATAGCTATAAGGTTTAATTAATTTAATGCTCATTAACACATTATTGAAGATGAACGAAGGGTAACTTCATAAATCGTGCTCAATTGTTTTGTTAAATTTAAATATAATTTAACAGTTCATAAGATATGATTTATAGAATCCTTAACAAAGTCATTAATAATATAATAATTTTGTCCGATAGTGTTAAGCATATATTTTAAAAATCAATATATGACAGTGCACCTCATTGAAGGTCATGCATAGGAGGGAGTCAAAGGTGGTAGAATGTAGGCTTAGCGACAGAATTTAGAGGGCGTGAAAATTTAATTTTGAATTCTTTTTTGGTTGCTTTTTACTGTTTATATTGAGAAATCGAAATACGAAATACTGTTTGTACAATTGCATTTGTTAGAGATGGATGTAAATAAAAATACTGAAAATTGAGCTTGCCTTATCCATCTGAAAAAATTCTAGTTTCGGCTTTGATCATTAGTTTATTATAGAAATTATTTATTATTATTATAGAAATTATAATATGAATTTGTATCTCAATTAATTCAGATTATTAAAGGGGAAAATCAAGTCGGAAAAATATAAAAAAAAAATTATTCCATACGAGTTATTAAAAAAAACTGTTATTTCGATCTATATGAGAATATTTACCTATTGATATAAAATAATTTAATATAAAAAATAATCTTATCTGTCCTAAGGAACGGAACACATCTATACACCCATAGGAGGATTTGTAGTTAATTTGACGTTAGAGAATATTGCAACTTACAATTAGTACAACTGTCGGAAGCCTCCCACTGCACGTTACTTCCGTGTCATATATAACTATGTGTAAATATAAATATGTAAAATATAGTAATGTATTTTTAAGTCTTAAGTTTCATTGTGTTGTGAAAAGTAACGGACTTATACAAAATGTTTCAGTATTTAATCTCTTCTTATTTTTTTTTTTTAATTTTATTCAAATGATGGAAAAAAGTTTAAAACAATTAAAAAGACACCCTTTCATTCTACTATATAATTTTGATTGAGAAACAAAACCGTAGCGAACTCTGGATCATACAATGGCTGCCAACAATATTCTGCCTGTTTTCGAGGATCTTAAGCTTATGGCGTAATTTACAAAGGATTCTTGCTGGATTTTCGAATTGATATATTGTTTTTATCTGATTTTTTTGATCATCTAATTCAAAAAAAGCGTCCATCACCGTTACCATTCTGTTAGTGTTTTCTCAGATTTATCATTGTTTCAAATTGTTAATAATAATTTTACGTGCAAAAATGTATTGTTATAATATTTGCTTACTATACTCCTAGACAAAATAAATAGTTTTAATAACAAATGAAAAAATGTACATAATATGTAATTTTCTTTTATATCTTTACCCTGGAGGTAATAAATTTATAATAAAGTTAATAAATTATTTAATAAAAAAAATTTGACATGTGTTTTTAACTTCCGGAGCACAGATAAATATGCTAAATATAATGTGAAATTTGCACGACTTTGGCCAATGTTCCATGATTTGGAGAATATGATTATGATATGATAATTATATATAAGATATAGAGATATTAAGAAAATTAACAACTCTGAAATTTGGTTTACATTAGGAAGAGTGGGGAAGGGTGGAAACAAAAATGAAGACTTACTGGAAAATAGTCATTAAACGTTATTATAACAATTAATTTATATATTTCCAATTTATTATTATTTAAATTTAATTTAATTTCAATTAATTATTAATTAAACTATGACAGGTGCGGATAGGAGTATAAAGAGAGAGTAAAAATTAAATTCATAAATACATAAAAATTAAATTTAAATTTAATATTAATTTTTTGGGGTAGAATGGAGCATCCAACAGCTTTGTGTGCAGCTGGTGTGTTTCAAGGAACAATTTAATTATGTTTATTAATAATGTTAAGTTATAATCTTTTGTTCGCGAAAGTCCAGCAAAAACACCGTTGTATGTTCCCTGGCTCTGAGTGTTCATTTATTAAAAGCTACCGAATTTTAGATATTTTAATTACAATCCGATGGATTACAATTTTATAGATTAACTTAATATTTTTTTTTCGTTGTTCAAAGAAAATAATTTTTCTACGTAGTAGTTATGTGTCCCTCCTTTTCCATTACATGTGATTGATTGAATTAATTAAGGCAGAAAAATAATAATAATAAAAGAAATTTTCCTAATGGAAGGGATTGACGGCTGATTGAATAAGCTCATCGGTTTTCAATAATTGACGTCGTCAATTAGGGAACTTTGTCCATTGGCTTACAATAATAGCTAGTATTTTTATTTTCTTCCTAAAGTCTCTTTGTCGTAATTATAGACGCAAGATCAAGAAGCC